AGGAGGTGGTAGTGCTCTAGGATGACCCCCAGTGGGGGAGCGATGTAGGGACCAGAGGAGCTCCCTGGAGCGGCTAGTGAGGCGCCCTGTCTGGAGGTAAACACGGACCGGCGGGGGGGCCTAGGCCTGAGGGGCAGGGGCGCTAAGGTGGCGGGCGAGTGTTGGGGGCGGGCTGGCCCGGACGGAAGGGCAGGAGAGGCGGGCCCAGTGGAGAGGGGAGCAATGGGAGAGGGGGCGCGCTGTCCCCGTGGTAGGGGCACGCAGTGATACTTTCCCACATGGTCCACGTTTGAGGAACTGCCATTAACAATCTCTGGTTTGAGTATCTAAATGCTTTAGTTTGTGTTGTATGCACTTTGCAACTCTGTAAATAATTCGTTCTACTTCAAAATAAATTGAGTGAGAATTAAAGATTAAAACTCCGGGGTGCTGTTCCATATAAGTACCTAATGGCATCACACACAGCAACACCTAGTTATTTTGGGGAAATAAATATTTATCCCAATAAAGTAGAGCTGCAGACTTTGAATGAGAGCAGCAAATCATAGGCAGATAACTTATTTATTTAAATCAATTGAATTTTTGGTTGAACTGTATTTAAAATATATATAGAGAATAGATAAATATATTTAAGAAAGGTAATCTGAATGTTAAAATCATGAGTTCAGCAGAATAATTTTATTTCACTACACATGCATCTCATCTCAAACCTCTCACTACTTGTGATAAACAGTTGAGTGAAATTATTTAATAGTGGGACCCAGCAAAATATTTTAGGTGTCTTAACCAACACAGAGCTGAAGTTTTTAATGTATTTTTCCAGTGACACAGTTAGCCTGTTATCATTACACTAGTGAGACAATATGATTTCAAGTCAATGGTGTCTCTGCAATTTCATGAGCAGCAACTTGACAGTAACTTTAACTGACCTAACTTTAATTATGCGTATCTAATGCCAAAAACTGGAAGACCGCTCATAAATGCAAGCAAATGCTTCAAACTAAACTGCAGTGGGAAATTTGAAAATGAATGAAGATCATGTTTATATGCTAAATGCCCCACTAACTAGAATTTGGATTGGAGGCATTCAGGTCATAAAATTGAATCAAGCACAGTTTTGCACTTCCCTTTGCAATTCACCTGTGGTTTCCCAAACAGGAAAACATTTCATTAAAAAAATGTATGGCTTTAAGAGGCTTTAAATTTGAACTATGAACAAAATCTAATCTGAGCGCTTATAAAACAAACGTTCTAAGAACTCATCACAAAGTGGTGTGAACATCACTTATATCCTAACTGCAGCAGAGCACTCTATTCCATTTATATTAGTTTCTCTGTGTAAATGACCAGGAGGGCTTCTAATAAAAAGTTGCTGCTAGAGGAGGAGAAATTGTATCAATTTAGGCCCACAAGTATGCTTATCCAGACAAAGTGGAAGCCAGGAAGCTTTTGTGTCTAGCCCTGCTTTTGACAGTTACTAGCCTTAGTACTTTTTACTTGTAAATCCTATTTATTTAATTATGAAATAAATAAATATCCCTGTGTCCATTTTACAGGTGGAGAAACTGAGGTTTAGAAAAATTATGACTTGTGTTGTGGCACTGTGGCTTAGTTTATTAGGCCTGGACTGGAAACAAGGAAATCTGGGTTCTAATTCTGATTCAGACATTGATGTTATAAGAGGATAATCTCTTTGATACTCAATTTCTCCATCTGGAAAACTGAGACAATGCTATTTAACTGTTTCATTAGTAACTTTTTTTAAGCAGTCATGGGATAAGCGGGTGGTCAATAACTGGTTACAAGACAGAAAACAAAGGATAGGAATAAATGGTCAGTTTTCTGAATGGAAAGGTAAATAGTGGTGTCCCCTAAGGATCGGTACTGAGACCAGTGCTGTTCTACATGTTCATAAATGATCTGGAAAAAGGCATAAACAGTGAGGTGGTAAAATTTGCAGATGATATGAAATTACTCAAGATAGTTATGTCCAAAGTAAGGCTGTCAAATTATTAAAAAGATTAACTTCTAGGCTCTAAACTTTTACATTGTTTTATTTTTTTGAACGCAGTTTTTTTTGTACATAATTCTACATTTGTAATTTTGACTTTCATGATAGAGAGTGCACTACAGTACTTGTATGAGGTGAATTGAAAAATACTATTTCTTTTATCATTTTTACAGTGCAAGTATTTGTAATAAAAATAATATAAAGTGAGCACTGTACGCTTTGTATTGTGTTGCAGTAGAAATCAATATATTTAAAAATGTAGAAAAACATCCAAAATAGTTAATTTCAGTTGGTATTCTATCCTTTAACAGTGAAATTAATCACGATTAATTTTTTTGAGTTAATCCCATGAGATAACTGTGATTAATCGACAGCCCTAGTCCAAAGCATACTGTGAAGATTTACGGAGGGATCTCACAAAACTGTGAGACTGGGCAACAAAATGGCAGATGAAATTCAATGTTGAGAAATGCAAAGTAGTACATCAAAAAACATCATCTGAACTATACATACAAAATGACGGGGTCTAAATTAGCTATTACCACTCAATACAGATATCTTGGAGTCATTGTGGATAGTTCTCTGAAAACACCTGCTCAAGCTGCAGCAGCAGCCACCAAAAAAGCTAATAATGTTAGGAACAATTAGGAAAGGGATACATAATAAGATAGAAAGTATCATAATGCCACTATATAAATCCATGGTACGCCCACATCTTGAACACTGTGTGTAGTTCTAGTGATCGCATCTCAAAAAAGATTATTAGAATTGTAAAAGGTGCAGCAAAGGACAACAAAAATATTAAGGGTATGGAACAGCTTTCATATGAGGAGAGATTAAAAAGATTAGGACTTTTCATCTTGGAAAAGAGGCAACTAAAAAGGGATATGATGGTCTATAAAATCATGACTAGTGTAGAGAAAGTGATTAAGGAAGTGACATTTTCTCCTTCATGTAACACAAAAACCAGGGGTCACACGATTAAATTATTAGGCAGCAGGTTTAAAACAAAAAAAGGAAGCACTTATTTACAAACACAATCATCCTGTGTTGCCAGGGGATGTTGTAAAGGCCAAAACTATAATGGGGTTCAAAAATGAATTAGACAAGTGCTTGGAGGATAGGTTCATCAATGGCTATTAGCCAAGATGGTCAGGGATGCAACCCCATGCTCTGTATCCCTAGCCTCTGATTGCCAGAAGCTGGGAAGGGTGTCAGGGGATGGATCACTTGATGCTTGCCTATTCTGGCCTTTCCCTCTGAAGAACCTGCTATTGGTCACTGTTGGAAGACAGGATACCAGCCTAGATGAACTATTAGTCTGACCCGGTATGGCTGTTCTTATGTTCTTAAAGTGCTATAAGTGCGAAGGGTTATACAAATCAGTAGCAGAGGTGGGGCTAGAACTTAGAACTGTCTAGCTCCCAGCCTTGTGCTTAACTCAGTAGACATGTGGCTTTTTGTAAGCCTCTAGCACATTTTAAAAAAATCACAAGTGTGGCTTATTGAGTGTAAGTGGATCTCTGATTCTTTGCAAATTCCCTTTATAATGAAAAAAAATCATGCAAAATGTCCTCAAAAAATCTTGAAACTTTGTAAAATTGCTCCAATTGTGCTGTTTTGTACAGACAAAAATAGGTAAATTGTCAGAAGATGTTTTTTCTGATCATTCTTTACCCAGCTGTAGTTGATTTCAGTTTTTTGTTTTGTTTTAAGACACCTGTCCACATATCTTGGTACAGTAAGCTAATTGAGTATAAAAGGCAGTTTAAAAATAAGTGAATTATCTGTCCAAGATAATTTAAACTGAGAATAATAATAAACCCATTCCACTTGCCTGCAGTCTTGAACTTTTACCAAGAGAACCTTTAACGGGGAAAAAAAATTAAATATTTTCAAGCCTTTTTATGTATTAAAAAAGGACACAGGCTCAGTCTCTCTCTTCTCTTCCCTGCCCCCCACCTTCACCCCATCCTTTATTATTTTTATTATCATTTATTAGCATGTCACCTCCTTAGGCTCAAAATTTAGTTTTAAAGAGCAACAGATCATTTAGAAAAATTAAACCTCTTTGTGGTGGTAAAGAGCCAAATATGCTATATAGAAGAAACCCGCTTCTGAATATGTTCAGTGACAGCTTTTCTTTTCTACAGGAAACTTCTACACTGAAGTTTGTGGTGTAAGAACCCGTATAGGATAGATGATGTCCCAGCATACTAAAATACTGTACCTACCTTCTGAGCTTTCTCATTAGTACTCCTCATACAGGAACTGAATGAAAAACCATAATCAAATTTGAAAAAAGTTATAACATGGCTTGTTAGTCTATTTTTCTTTTAATTAGGCCAACTGTTTAAATTGTAACTGAAGGAAGAAGTGACAGGTTTATAAAAAGTGATTGGATCTAATAATCAGATTCTTATTCTGTGCATCCAAGCTTCTGAGTGAGTTCTAAATGGAAAATGTTATTTCCCACTATCTTTATATAAATCAGTATATGGGGAAGAAATATCCTATAAGAAATCACCATCCGCAACCTAGGAAAAATTGTACCTGCGGACAGTAGTCTGCATCTCTTGTTCTGTAAGCAGACTTAGTTGAATAAAGAGCAGTATGCTTTTAAGTAATATATTCTTCTGTTGTAGACACCCCATGCTGCCCCGTCACATGCAGAGGCTGGGCAGAGATTGGGTTGCCCACTGGGATAGCCCTCAAAGATTCTGCTGGAACAGTCGTATCTCCAATTCTGTAAGGTGGCCTGATCACTATTCTTGGGCTCCGTATCTCAGCACTGCTGATTTTACAGTGAATTGGAGACCGCCTCACTTTTTTGGGCCTTGGAGACCGCCTCACTTTTTTGGGCCTTGGAGACCGCCTCACTTTTTTGGGCCTTGGAGACCGCCTCAGTACTGGAACTGGCAACCTGATAACTTCACACACAACTCTTCTTTTCATCTCTCAAATCCTAATATGAAATCCGAGGGAGATGAACCTTCTTCAAAAAGGAGAAGACACAGTGGTCAGAATGATGTTTGCAGTCCTAATGAAGAAATTAGCAGCTCTAATCAGAATGAAGCAGTCTGTCTTTCTACTCCACCAAAAAATGAAAAAGAAAATACTGCAAACACAAGAGGTAAAAATGGTGTTTGCTATTTCTGTAGTGTTTTCTTTATATATTTAACAGGCTTTAAGTACCATTTTGTAGCGCCCTCTGTATTCCACCTCTTTGCTGGCAACTATACCAGGAGGGTGTTGGTTTTTAAAAGGTATTACAAATGTCAAGTACTGTAATGTATAGCTTTAAACTGTTTTGATTTTGTGCTCTCAAAAACCCTAATCTGGCAGACAGAGCTGAGCTCATGCTGTTTGAGATAGTCAGGATGGCTCTTATTATTTGAAGTGGCACCACCAAGTGGTTATATTTGGTTTTGCCATTTATTTTGATAAATTATAATTTCAGCAGGCCTTGCTGCCGTTTTCTTTACCTATCTGAACATGAATCAAGTGCACCTATGCAGATAGTGCAGTAAGATATGCACAATTTCTCAACTCAAAACAATGTGGTCTATTCAATTCAAATCTTATCAGGTCTAAGTGAGAATCACTGCATTGGCAGTAGAATTATTTATGAACAGGGAGCCAGAATGCTTAATTATTTAAAGTAAACATGCTTGACGCTAAGAGCACAGTGAGGTCTTCTGCAGCAACTATTGTCTCTCAATACTTTGACTTTAACATACTTCTCCTAAATTGTCCCCAACTGTTTGCTTAAGAACTTTTTTTTTACATAATCTGATTCTGGGACTTGTTTGACATTGTGAATGGCTTTTTTTTTTAAGGGGTGAAGGGAGGCAAAAGAAAAATCATTTCATTTATCTAATCTACCCTAGCCCAGTTTAGTGTCTGTATTCTGACCCAGCAGCAGGAACTTCTAAGTTTTGTTGCTGCTTCTGATGCCTTGAATTTTCTTTATACCTCCCTCCACCCAAAGAAGCACGTCTGTTCTCTTCTCTAATGGACTCCTTTCGGATACCAGCGTCTGGTGCTACCAGGAGAAATTGGTGGTAGCTATAAATGCCAAGAGGCTTCAATCAGACTTCATAGGATGCATTGTGCTTGGTAGTATACATATTTAATTTAATAAAGGAATAAACAATTATGCTGTATATAAAATATGTTCAGTGACACTCCCCACCTGCCCAGTTCTCGGCAAGAAATTTTGGTATGGGGTCTAGACTTTTTTGGAGACGAAAAATATCAGGCCTGTCTGGAAAATGTAGTCCTTGTCCAAATAACTTAGTCTAGCTCCCCCGTCCAGCAAGCTTCCCAACACAAGCAGGTCCTTGTGCCTGTTTGGAGCGTCATTGACTTCAGTAGGGTTCTTCATGAATATAAGAGTGCCTACATAAAGCATCTTGCAGAATTAAGTCCTATACAGGCAGTCCTCGGACTTAACGACTCAATTGCTTCCTGAGAATTGCGTCGTAAGTCGGAACTCGGAACCACAATCTACTCCATTGTAGGACCGAGTGTTGTAAAGTCGAAACCTGTGGTCATAAGTCGAATCAGGATGTCAATTCAGAAACATCATAAATGCTAGGTTTCAGAGTAGCAGCCGTGTTAGTCTGTATCTGCAAAAAGAACAGGAGTACCTGTGGCACCTTAGAGACTAACAAATTTATTAGAGCATAAGCTTTTGTGGGCTACAGCCCACTTCTTCGG